AGACAAGCGACCCCAGCACATACCATTATAAAGCCCTGAAGCACCAAGAGCTGAGCCTCACGAAGAGTCCCCTCCTTCAGCTGCTGCTGAGACTGACAGAGATCAGCCAGCCTCAGGACTCACACTCACTCTCAACCATTCGGCCCACACAGATCATCAACACAGAGAAACACAAGTACATCACCCACTGGACAAACACCATCAAAAACCAGCACAGATTAGAATGTTATTCGGCACTAAATCGAGAGTACACCACGGCAAGCTACCTGAGCACAGTGACTGATGTGAAGCTCAGGAAAACACTGACGATGTACAGACTCAGCGAGCACAGTCTGTCTGTAGAGACGGGCCGGCGCAGACAAACCTGGCTCTCCCGTGAGGAGAGACTCTGCTCCCACTGCAGTCTGGGAGAGATAGAGACAGAGCTGCACTTCCTCACAGAATGCCCCAAATACCTAACCATCAGAGACCACTATTACCCCAAAATAAACCCAATTTATCTTTTGTAGCCCAACCAAAAAACTTTTTTCATTCTCGGCTAAAAAGCCAAATGTACAAATATTAGGGCTGCCACGATTCTTCGATTCTATTCAACTATTCGATTTTTTAAAATCCTCGACTTCATTTTGCCTGCGTCAACTAACCGGCAAAATACCGGAAGTGGCGCATTTCATGGACGAGAATCCATAAAACATTACTAGACTGTTTTCCAAGGCCTCGTGATATATTAAACCCACTTAAAAATTATAATTAAGCATAACTGTGAATTCACAAATGCTACGATTTAATTAAATAATTATATGTGATGCAGTTATAGGCGTGCGTGTAAGTTACGTACGTGCGTCACACAGCGGCTCCGTTCACAGTAATTGCTGCTCCACAGGAACGGTTATCATTTACATCATGTGTGGAACATCTCAAACTCCATCTCTGCATGTTGTTGTGCATTTGGGTTTATTATAACGTTCATCTGGGAACGCAACGTGCGCCATTTCGTCAG